TTGTTTAGGTCAAAGTAAAAATAATTACTGAATAGATGCAGCAGACAATACCATTTCCAGAGTGCAGTGTGATAGCCTTTCTGCAAATTACTCTGCTTCAGAAATGTGTATTTTTTTTCCACATAAGTAAAAAAAACCTGGAGAAACTTTTGTAGATCTGTATTTTTATATAAGTATTAAATGTATAAATATAATAAGCATAATTTATATATAAAATATATAAAATTGTACTGGGACAGATGAGTTTGACTTCATCTAAGAAGTGTAACCTGGATTATGTATAAATACATGCATATACTTATTTGTATATAAATATGTATACACAAAACTAAAACTGCACTATAGCAGATGTGTTTGATTTCTTCTAGTAGCTTGGATTATTTTAACTAGAGTTCTTTTGACGAGGAGGGACAACAGAAATGAGCACCAATTTTAAATCCAATTTAAATCCTTTTCTTTTGACTTCTAAAAGAGCTGTTTTCCATCATGTCAGTAAATTGAGATTAAGGTGACTCCTTAAGGCAGATGACTTAAGTGTACTTGATTAACTAGCTGTCTGGTAGGAGAGGAGACTGAAGCCCTTAATTTGAAAATTAAATCCATCCCTGATCTAAAGCTGAAATTTGGCTTCTGTTGAAAGCTCTATTTTTGAAAGACCCACCAGTTAGTGAGCTGTGTATGGCTACTTTATTCAACCATATTTTCTAGTTGCTTTTTTTCTCACATAGCTGGTCATGTGTCTGAAGTGTTGGTGATGCAACTGCAGCTTGATTGAAATAATTGACTACAGTGTAATAAGAAAAATAATACTGGTTTATGATTTCTTGAATGACTTGCATGGAAGAAGGTTGCATTATTTCCTGCTTTCAGAGTTTCTCACAGAAGTTTTCACAGTTTTTCTGTTTCACTGTTTTCTGCAATTTCTTGAAAGCTGGAAAGAAAGAATTGTTCTGTTCTCGACTCCGAGATCAAGTCAGCCACTTGTTCTCACTTGAAAATGTAGTCTGTGTAGGTGGACCGAAAACTAAGGGATTACTGTTCAGAAATCCAGTTTGTATTCACTTAGTTCATTAATTGTTGTAGAGGAATAATGAAAGATTCCTTTTCCTTCCATATCCATCTCCCAGAATGCTTAACAGTCAGGTTTTAAATATATTAACGTGTTGTTACAGCAACAAGACTTCAGTCACCTCTATCTTCTTATGCAGTGGTTCCTTTTTTTGTGTGTGGACATGCACATGGTTGCAGAATTAAATGGTCATTGGTCAGTTTGATTATTTATGAAAAGACTGCTCTGAACAGACTCTTACTAAAGCTATTTCCTATGTTTACTCCTCCCAACTTGCTTTGGGATGCTGTCCTAGAAAAATGATGAGCATGTGTCTTACAAATTCGGTATTGCCAGATATGGACCACAGTCTGCAAAAATATTTAAATGAGACTGACCTTGGCTGCAGTAGAGTTTGGAGTCTGAACTGTTGACCAACTTCTTTTCTGGTTTTCTGTGTCTCCCAAGTCTGACTTGGCACACCTGTTATCAGGGCCTCTGAAGTACGGATGTTTGTAGTCAATGCTGAATCTCCCATGAACTAAATATTTGTTACGGTAAGATCTGTTCAGTAGGTGGGTTGGACTGTAGGTCTATACCTTTACTAGTTGTATCTCCTGGGGCCTCCTGGCAGATAGCCAAACCATGAGGCAAAACTTTCTCCCAGCTGGTGCTGTAACTGGTGGCCTTCAGCAAGGGGGCACACCAGTGTCTATTTTTCAATATTTTGTTCCTTTAGAGCTCCTTTCCTTTGCTTTCTCTTTCTTCTTGCTGTTACTTTATGTTCTCCCTGAAGCACTGCACGTGACTGGAAAGCATGAGAATACCATCTGAAGCTGTAAGAGACCATAGCTGCGGAGCAGTAGGAGTCTTAATCTGATTTTGGCAGAAGGTAGTTTTCTCTCTGTTCTCCTGTGAGTCTGGTTTGTTTGGGGGTGTGGTTTGTTTGGGGTTTTTTTGTGTGTGGTTTTTTTTTTTTAAGAAGGGTTTAAGCATCATGACGTAAACACAGAAGCTTACTATTTAGTTGAAACGGTGTGCCAGATAGTCATGAAGCAAAATCTAGTCTGTGCTTTGGAAAGCTTCCTTCCCTGTGTTCCTTTACAGGGATATCCAGCAGAGATCTTCCACTGGGATGTGGTAGCTTTCTGTACATGTTTTCTAAGGCTAGGTAGCTCATTTCTTGATCCTTAGTTTAATGCCACTGGTGACAACATGCAAGTAAGTGTAAGATTTAATTATCAAAACAAAAGACTATTTTAGCATAAATTTAGTGAGTAATTGAGGTTGTAGTGATTGTGTGTGCATATTATGCTGCAGTAGGCTAAAGTGAAAGGTGTAAAGGGATATAATGCTATCTTGTACTATTTGCACTCTATCTGAAAAAGTGATGAAAAAATAAATGTAAGACCCATTTGGTGACTTGGAACTTGTTTTCTTTGGCAGCATGGCATAGAAGCCTTTAGGAGTAAACTAAATAATTTTAACACACCCCAATGGATGAAGGCAGTCATCCTCTGCTGCACATATTACTGTCTCAGTGAAGGTGTTTGGCAAGGAGGGGTGAGCAGAAATGGCTCTGCTGCCATTGGAAGCTGCATTCAGGTTTAGTTTTCTGTTATCACCATTCCTGAGCTTGTCATGGATTACATGCCATCTGTTGGGCAGCTGATTTCTGCTGGCCTGCTGGATGCCAGCTTGAGAAAAAGTTCCCTTTGATTCGCTTTTGCTTTGGAGGAGAAGACAAAGAGGAGAAATATTTCCCAGTGAGGTGTTACTGAAGTGTAGTTGTGCTGCACAAGAGGAATTAGCACAGTGATACCAGTAAGCCTCTGTTGAAAGTCCTAGGGGAACAGGGAAGAAGTGTAAGCCTTGAGGCTGAAAGGTTAATACTTTCCCACTTTATCATCACTTTTTGACCCACATTGAATACATGTTTATTTTTTTGTCTGAATTGAATTGTGTCAATGTATTTGGTGACCTTGTAGTCTGAATTGTCTCATTTTATGTCTTTGCCATAGAATTCTCTAGGACTTTGGTCTACCTGGTGTATGCAAGTGCATCCTTAACTTTAAATCTCTCCTCCTGCATTGTTCATCTGCTAGTTTCATCTGTTTGCTGCTATGAGCAACAGATGTGCAATAAACTGGGCAGGACAAGGATAGGACACGCAAATGAATAGCAAATAGAACTAGTTCAGGTGTGTTTGATCACTGCTTCTCAAATATTTCCTAAGTCTTATCTGCAAATGTTGTATAAACCAAAATTTGGAAGAAAATTGATTTCACTGGTATTTTGTGTTAAATGAAAAAGTAGTGGAAAAGTGTGTGTGGGCTTTTGAAGGAAGTGATCCAAAGCACCCCTGGAAATGGGGTGGTTTAATTTTTCTTCTCACTCCCTCTCTTCCCTGATGGCTGCACTATAAATAGGTATGATTAGGCTCTGCCACTCTGGTGTCCTTTGCATACCTTTTAAAGGGCATCTTCTAATGAAGTAGAATGAACAGAAGGCTAGTGTAAAATCTTCACTTTGTTTCAGAGAATTAGGAGATGTTGGTGGAGTCATGTCCACACTTAATTGAATATCAAAGGCTCAGACTTTGAAAACACGTCTTTGAACTCTCCATGTAATTTGTTTGGGGGCAAAAAGCATATTTTGCTTGAACATCTGCCTAAACCTAGTCTAATAAGCATGAAAGTAATTTGTTGCAGTTCTGGAGGTCTTGGGAAGTTCACAGGTAATATGACTTAGATATAAGCAGTTCCTGCAAGTGCCAGTGGAAAAAAAAAGAAACTTAAACAAAAAACCCCTGTTACCATAGTTGGAGTAGTGTAACTGCTTGTGTGGGGAAGGAAAGGAACCAGCTAATTTTGTAAAGGAGGGAGGTGAGATAGCATGGACCTCCCAATAGCCTTAGGATGGGAATTTCCCACACTTGGAAGATCAATGTCACAGTGACAATAGTAATTAATGTGGTGTTAATTTATTTAGTATATCCAGTCTTAACCTAGATGTTTGGGAGACTGTGGGGTTTTGGTTTCTGTGGGCTTTTTTTCCCCCATGTGTGTAATTTGTAAATTAGCTTTCCTCTCTGTGGGAATACATTTATTATGTGTGAGATTATTTTCTTTCTGGTTAGTCATTTGACGACTCTGTCTAGGCACTAAAGCTTAGGATAAAGATGCTCTGTGTGGTCCTTTCCTATTGCTGTCTTAAGGGTGATAATAGGCATTAAGGCCTTTATTTTTTTTTTTTTTTGTAGCTCACTCTTTGTCTTATTTGCCCCAGTTGGTTTTTGCTGCATGAAAGTGGTGCTCTTGGCGTATAACAAGGGTTGGGGCTAAAATGCAGGCTAAGAAGCTCTGGGGATACTCAGAGTATTCACCTTTCTTTCTAAAATTAGTCAGCAAACTGATTGATCTGACATGGTTTTTGGGAACAAAAATATGTCTCTGAGTTGCAATATCAACAGGCTGGAAAAGGGGCATAATAGATGCCTGGTTTGTGAAGGAGACCTTGTGAGTCTTGCCTGGATAGCTGGAGTTGGGGGGGTTAAGGAATGTATTTTAAGTGATGGGCTATCAATGTTGGTGAAAGAAAGCTAGTAGCAAGTGGTGGAAATGACAGGAAATGGGAGTGAGATTTTTGCATGTATAATGTCAGACAAAAGTCTGTAACCCAGTGATGTTTCCTGCTTGCTCTCCTATTTTGTCAGTGTAATATGTGGGGTTTTTCTCCTTCTGCTTGCTATGTGCATACTCTGTCAGGCAGAGAATGTGGAGCCTACTGCAAGTGCTGATGCTGTCAAATTAGCTATTGCTGTTTGTATTTATTTTTTCCAAATAGCTAACAGGCAGCAGCTGGCAATGATATTTTCAGTGTCAGACATGTACTGAGTATTGATATAAGGAAGTGATGGAATATCTTGTGCTGTTTTTCAGACTGCTCTGCAATGACTACAGCAAGATACAGACCTACGTGGGACTTGGTACTTGATCCATTAGTGTCCTGCAAGCTCTGTCTTGGTGAATATCCCGTGGAGCAGATGACAACAATAGCACAATGCCAATGCATCTTCTGCACCCTGGTGAGTTTGCTTTTTTTATTACGCATAAAAAACAATGCACAATTCTAACTGCAGAAATCATGTGTGTTTTTGTTAAGTGGCTTTTACCCTGAAGTGTTGATGCTGTGGTGGAAATAAATACTGCTCTATACTCGACACAAATGCTAGCAAGTAAACTTTTCTGTTTTCCTGTAGAAAAAAAACCAAAAACAACCACTTTTACTCAGCACTTCCATGTACTGCTGCGTGCAGTTATCTCCTTAGAAAAACTATTCACATTTTCCCTGTTACCTATCGGTGGCTTGAGTTTGGTGTTTTTTTGGTTAGTTGTTCTTTTGTTTAGGGGTTTTTTTAACTTTAGACCCAAGTCTTTCTGTAACAGTCACGCACATACTTGTAACTAGAAAACTATTTAATGTATTATAGATTTTAATTTCACTGTAGCATAATTACAATCACATAACAGGTTTTCATTACCATATTGCACAAATGTGTGCCTGGAATAACAGGAATCCTGTCAGTTAAGTACAAAACACTATTTGAATATAAGTGTAGTATGTAACAAAGATCAACATCACAGAAAATCGGTATTACTAGTTTATGAACAAGAGAGAGAAAAGTAGTAGTAGTTTCCCTAATGACTGGGAATGAAAATGTTAGATCCTTGAATTTTGCAATGGGTGCAGGTAAATAAAAACCTTGTAATGGTGGTTGAGCAGTGGAAAAATTACAGTAACATCAATAAGAATATAATTTCAGGGATGCTTGATGCTTCAAAGACTTTAACACCATGTAGTAAACTCCTGAGAAATTATAGATTCAGACATAGGATCACGTGATTTTTAATTTGAAAGTCCTTTTCAACAAAGTTGGTTTTTTGGGTTTTTTAATGTTGAAGAGCAAGGATTTTTTTAAGTAGTCTCTTTTATATTTTATTTTTCTTCATAGAAATACTACCTTTTTTAAGTAATAGAATTTTTTTATTATTGAGAAGATATAGTGTGTTGCCAACAGGACAGCTCCTTTTTGTTGGTTACTGAAAACAGCAAAAAAGAAGCAATGTGAACAACTCTGTTTCTAATACATGTAATATTTGAAAAACTGCAAGCCATTGCAACCAACTTTGATGTTGATGTTTTGTGGGAAAAGAGAAAGTGAGTACACAGGCAGGTAAACAGATACAGTCTGTTGCAAACACTCTGCCTGTCCAATTAAAAAACAAATATTGCTTCCTTATGCACTTTGAAAAGAGTGTTTGCTCAGGCATGCAAAAGTACATAAAATAATAGACTTCATGCAAACTGTCCTCTACTGCACAATGGATGATTCTAGTATTTACAGCTCAGTTTTCTGTGTCTCTCCCTGTTGCCTGGATGTGAAGAATATTTGAATTTTGTTTTTCAGTAACATTTAAGTGGCAGCAGGAACACTGCATTGCTAGATGTCTTTTCCTCTTCACCTTGTGCCTTCTGACGTTAGCTGCCATGACTGATCTTCCATTTCTTCATGGTAGAATATGGTTACTGACTCTTACTGCTGTTTCAAAAGTTGTAACATGTTGTAGATGTAGCTTTTGCTGATAACCTTTTCTTAGGACCTCACATAAGCAAGCTTACTGTAGTGACACTGTGTTCTTGTGTCGACCTCTGTTCAGCTGGAATCAACAGTCCATTTTTACCACCAGTATTTGATTGTCATGAGTAATTCATGCAGCTTTGTCCTGTTTAAGCAAACCAGCGTACCTTCTCTGCCTCAGGATTTGTAGGAGCTTCACTGTGGTAACATTTGAATGCCCTGAAAGTTTTCCCATGAAATTATAGGGAATAATATTACCCTTGCTTTAATTGATGACAGGGGGGAAAGAAATAAGGATCAATCCCAATAATTGCAAGAGGCAATAACTATAAATCTGTGTCAGCACAGGAATTTGTCATGATTGAAACCCCAGGCCCCTATCTCTACCTTATGGACGGCCAGCAGGTTAATAAATTGCCTAAGAAAATGCTCCAGTAATGAGTCGGGCAAGACTGTTCAGCCTATTGGCAATGGTTAAGTAGGAGTGTGACAACTATGTACCGATTCCTTTACCAGTGTTCCTCCAATGATGATTTCCAGAAACTTGGTGTTTCTGGAAATCATTGCAGTTCTCAAAATAAACAGTGTTTTGTAAACAGCCAAATTAAAGTTATTGAAAACCAACAGGAAAAATATCTTTTTGACTCAAGACTCCGGTGTCTATGTACAGTAGATTCAGTACATTAAACTACTATAAGTGAAAATACAATTGGAGAAATGTTTGACTATCTCTGTTTTCTTCTTGATGAACCAATATATAGTTTTGTTCTGGCTTCTTGCTTTCATGTAAATGATCTGACATAACTGATGGCTTCTGCAGTGATATGAGCAAAAAAGAAAAAAAGGTATCCATTGCAAGTGTGAAAACTGTTTTAGCTGCAGCTCTTGTTCCTAACTCTAGCCCTTCTGTCTAAATCCCAGCAAGCCGAGACAGGGTGAGTACGTATTACAAAGAGATCTTTCAAGTGTAGTTCTCCTGGTATGTAGGCAAAATTTAGATCAATGTGCAGATTTCTCCATCCTATAATATTTCTGTCTGCGAGTATTCACCCTTTATAAGAATAGAAGTGCTGTGGTAAAGATCTTGTGAAGGATTGTCTCTTCTCAACAATTATACAATAACACAACATTGCTATTCAGAAAGATAGAATGGGGACACTGTTTCCTTTTGCTCTCTGGCAGAGCTGTGCATGCATTGAATAGGGCAGACTGCCACTCCTTTCCTGATAAGGCATGGATGCTACGATTTCCCATCGTCTTATTTTGCCAGTTGTAGCTATTAGTACAATACTCTGTTATGGTTTTTATTGTTATGATTGTTAATGTGCACACAATACTGTGAGCTCTCTCAACTTTTGTATATCTCATCCATTAGGAATGCTTCCGTTGTTGGATTGCTCAAGATACCAGAGGAACAAAAGTCTAGAAAGGAAAACAAGCTATCTGCTGCTGGCTTTTTGTTTGTTTGTTTTTCCGAGTATTGTCAAGGGGCAAACTAATATTCCGAGTATTGTCAAGGGGCAAACTAATATCTCTTTCCTTCAGGAATCATGCCAGGAACAGGACCAATCTTAACTGTGCTTTTCAAATTTTGGACTGAAAGGCTTAAACATCTTGCTTTTTATTAAATCACTTTTTCCTACTTAAATAGCACACAGCAGGTAGCTAGTAGCCTTAAATTTCAAGATGGTCACTTAGCAGTTGCTTGCCCTAGCAGAAGTAATTGATTTTGCATGTTTTCTTCAGGAAGCTTTCCTTATGACACTTACCTTCTTACAGAAGGAAAGGAAGAGTAAAACAAACAGCATCACTTTTCTTTTTGTTTAGTTTGTTTTGTATTAGTTACTGCACCTAAATTTTTCAGTTATTACTTAGCCTTTGCTGGTTTTGGGGGTGAAGAGAGATAGGAAGGGAGCAATTAGTCTAATTCCTGCCTGAAATTCTGACCGTTTTATAATCTATGATGAAATTCTGATGTGTCTGAAAGGACAGGATGTTCCCTTGATGTGTTACGGATGGTATATGTACTAAAGTTACAACAGGTTCTGTTCCATTTGATATTCTTGCATGGAAGTCAACCAGTTAGTTGCTTAAATCTGTTCTGATTCAGGATTACATGTATATATGTGTACATACAGATGTAATTTTTATATATATAAAAGTATACACATAGAAGTGTCAAACAATATGTTGCAAGTACAGTGATGCCACTATTACTCGAGACAGGGTAAGCTCCTCTTGATTTCACATTGGATTGTTGAGTTTCCTTCAAGATGTTATGCAGTGCAGATCATTCTGGTACCAGAGGATTTGTTGCTTTCTATTCTCAAATTTAAAAGGAATCAGTTAAGTAGGTAGTCCAGGCAAGCAAATATCTAGAAGAAATATGAAGCCTGAGAGAACTTGCCTTTGGAAAAAATTATTTTCATTACTCATCTGCAATCCACCTTGTTACCAAGGAAAAAAACAGATATGAGACAGAGGTTATGCAATCAGAAAGACTATAACAAAACTAATGTTAAGACCTACCTTCTGCTGCTTGATTTCTTCTTGGCCAGCTGGGGACATGTAGATTGGCTTTGTGGCATTTGAAACTAACACTGCTATGCCAATATTATATCTGTTTAGTAGACACTTGTACTCTGATTCTTACCTGTAGGCTCTACCTTAAGCTCTTGAGACAACTGGTTTATCTTTCCTGGTACTTTAGGTGTCCCTCTTAGTTTGGTAGAACTGTTGTTTGAGTCTAGTGTATTCTGTCACAAGTAGCATGACCATGGGATAGACTTGCCTGCTTTCACTAGCCCTCTTTAACCAGGATTACTGCATTTGCCTAATTGTGACTGTTCATACATGTCTACTTAATTCTAGTAATTCCCATAACTGAGCTTCTTCATAGACTGAAGACCTGAAAGAAAGGGAAGACCCTATGATCAGCAAGGCAAATATCATTATCCTGCTTATAACTAAGAGCAGACACTTTTTTTTTTCTTGTTGCCATGCTCTGCTGGCCCCTTAGTTGAATGACAGGAAAAAGCACAATTTATTTAGTGTTCTCCCTCACTCCAAATAAGGCAGAGGCAGCATCAGCTTCAGTTTCCCACTGCCCAGGCAAGGAAATACCAAGAGCAGCATGGATGGGAGCAGGTGGGCTTGGCTGCCTTCCCTGTCCCACAGGGTTTGTCACTGCTTGCCAAGGGAAACCTGCCTTAGCTGGGCAGCACTGGGCTGAGGCCAGGCTGTCCCCTGCTTCTACCACGAGGAGATATCCTCCTTGCTTTGAAACAGGAGGAAGGGGGAAACCTAATGACTTGTGAGGTTTTATAGAGCTCTGGGTGCTTCTTAGCAGCTGTAATGTTTTCCTGTTTCCCACCAGCTGCTGGCAAAGCTGAGGGCTTGCTGCTTGAGCTCACTTCCCCCAAACCTTCACAGAGAACTGATAGTAA